TGGGGCAGGGGCTTGGTAGCTGAAGTGGAAGCCTTGAAATAAGTATTAGTACCCTACAGCAGTACGAACTCGGCATACACATTATATCACGAGTGCAAGTAGACATTTGGAGCTGATTGTTTGATTTATGACTGCTGTGGACTCACTCTCAAGTGCCCAATGTCCAGTTATTGGCTACCGCGTCTCCTGGACAGTCGTGTGGTTTGTGTGTTTTTGTAGATCACACATTGGCGCCAACAGTCATTAACATTTTATCGATCAGCTGTACCTGGCTATACATGTAACCTATAAATTTACATAGATAACGATTGTATCGTATCTTCTGTATTTTTAATCTGCAGATAAATAGAATCATGAGAGTGTTGGTGTAACGTATGGAATGGTTTCGGTTTGGGTTCAGATGGTTTTCATTTTGAGAAAGTTAGAAGTGCTAGGTGAAACCAGAGAGAGTTTGGTGAAACCAGAGAGGGTTTGGTGAAACGCGAGAAACTACAAAGTAGAAAGTTGGCCCTCTTATTGATTCTACGGACTGCCCAACACAGATTTGTTGTGATGTTCGTCATGAGCTACGTCGAGATCTTCAAGGGTGACGTTTTATGTTGGGGCAAAAACAACTTACTTATGGGAGCCAAGATGCACGTACTTTCCAGGAATCCTACTCCCACATTACAGAAAACGAATGTCTGATCACACAACGCACTCAAACTATCTCTGTTTCTCGACGTGTCACAACTAAAGCCGTCGGCCGTCGAGGTCAATCGTCAGCAGAGGTATATGGGTAGCCCCTGCTGTCACACTCCATTAAACTGTTACAACAGTACCGAGACCCTGAAAGTGCAAGGCAATTGCTTACAAGTTACAAGTAACACGCCTGAACTCGTGTACGAAGCCAGGCCATTTTGTGGACTGTGTGTGTCTGTGTGTGTCGTAGGCGTTTTATGTAGGTCCGGACCCCAGGCTGAGAGAGAGAGAGAGAGAGAGAGAGAGAGAGAGATATTTTGACTCCCTATTCCCCTACCACGGTAACCTCGTCTCGAACCCGCGAAGCGTGTTGTGTTACATTGGCGCTAACTGGACAGTTTCAGTCGTTGGCTTGTGTTCCGAACACCTTGTTTCATAACTTTCTCAGGGGACTGCGAGGAGAGACAGAGCAATTTATATCTTAGTGCCGTTGGCCTCGGCTTACATTCTTTAAACATCAGTACGTCGTTTGTATTTAATCTTGAAAATTGTTGCTTTAAAAAAATAGGTCACACGGTTTGCATCGCATGGCTGACAGCGGAAACTTTAAATTAACACCGTCGAGTTTCCCCAAGTTTTTCTTTTATAACACTGGTATTGCTGTAGATCTACCAAAACAATGACTATTGTTAAAATTCTAATACGGGCTGCTCGTTGGGGGACCGGGTCGGGTCGGGTCGGGGTGGTTTGCTTGCCAGATTGAGGCGTTTACGGGGGGTGCCCACTACGGCTGGATCGGGCCGATCGGCCGACTCGATCGCCTGAAACTGAAAACAAACACGTTTGTTTTTGAGGCGATCGAGTCGGGCGAT